GACATAAATGCAATGTTTAGGTATTATTATTATTTTTATTACTATTATTTTGATTTATGCCTTAGTTTTAGTTTGTACTGTTTTTAGTACCTTTTTTAAAGTAATGTGAAATAGATTTTTGTATTTTTATTTATTTATTTATTGATATATTTGTATTTGCATTTTGAATGCAATTAGGCAATTAAATACATTAAATGGGTTTAGTTTTCACGGTTATTAATGTATGCAATTTCAGCAATAAAAATTAAAATTTTTCTAAAAAGAAAACAAATTAGTTGTTTAATTTAAGAGATCTATCTTATCTCTTGTATATTTAGTATTGCTCTTTAATAAAGAAAAATGACTTCTTATCCGATTACTCGATTAATCGATGGAATAATCTATAGAATACTCGATTACTAAAATAATCGATAGCTACAGCCCTAATATTTATGTTTTGCCTTATTTCTCTGAAAATAGATTCTTGAAAGATACTAGTGTTGGGCGATATGCTTTATAGTCATATAAATCTAGTGTCAGCCTGTGAGATCGCCGATACACAATATTATCATGCTAATTTATTTAATTATTTACTTACTTAGTTTCATAGCCGGAGAGTGGACCAACTCCAGGGGCTAAAAAGCAGCCTAATGTTATAAAATATTGTCATAAAATATCATGTCATTTGTATTTAACATGATAACAATTTAATAGAAACATTGTAAGTTGCTAATTATAATGCTTACATTTCCTCAGTTCCTCAGCAACGAGCAAAGAACATTTACATTATCAAAAAAGAACATTACTTCATTCTAGCCCGAGTTTATGCACTTTAAAAACACTCAACGGCCTCGAGTGTGATTGGTTATAACACTGTAAAAACATGGAAAAAGATATATGATGGAACAAATAAGCCCTAATATAAATTAGATAGCATTACTAGCATAATAATAATAATAATAATAATAATAATAATTGTCTTGCTATTGTCAAGGGCATCAGCCACAGGTTATATCTCAGACTATCGTTGATACACAATATCGGCACAACCCTAAAAGATACCATGATTTTTATAGTAAAAGAAGAACATTATCAACATGGTTGATTACGTGGCCTAATGGTTAGAAAGTCGGACTCGTAACCCAAAGGTTGCGGGTTCCAGTCTCGTTCCGGCAGGGATTGTAGGTGGGGGGAGTGAATGTACAGCGCTCTCTCCCACCTTCAATACCACGACTGAGGTGCCCTTGAGCAAGGCACCGAACCCCCAACTGCTCCCCGAGCGCCGCAGCATAAATGGCTGCCCACTGCTCCGGTACTGTGTGTGTGCACTTTGGATGGGTCAAATGCAGACACCACATGTCACGTCACTTTCACTTTACTATATTGCTGTACTTCCAATGACATATGCCTTCACAAGGGCTGGTTGCACCAGCTGTGCAAAAGTTAAAAGTTGTGGGCCTAAAGATGTAGTAATTTACAATTTATGCTCTAGTACATTTTTAAGCGTTGCACACTAGTTGAAATGTACACCACATATCAACTACATTTTTATGGAAGCCTCTTAAGCAGGAGTAACCAATGGGGAAAAAAATGGCAGACCGATTAAATTAAATCAATGAGCTCATGTTTCATCTAAATGTGTCACTACTTGACAAGTTTCAATACGCTCACACAAAATTAAAAATATGAAAATAACTATTTTAATTTCTATGGTTTGTTGTATTTGTTTTTGTTTTGGTCTGTAATTCATAATTTTAGATAAAATTAGATCTTATATATTTGATGTAAGCATTTTAGATAATGATTATTTACATAAGTTATTTAAAAAAATTTATCACCATTGGCAATTATGTGAGGTCTGAAACATCAAACATTATCAGATAAATGTTGAAATGTACAGCCTGTCAAAACTACTTGCAGTACATTTATAAATTTGAATGCTTGTTATTTTATCAGTAAGGGTAAATGTCATATTATGCGACTACACATTAATTTACTTACATTTCAGAATTTCAGTAATAAAGACTACATTTCTGTGTTAATTTTTATGCTGTAATTTTCTTTTAATGATATACATCTAAATCCTTGTTGTTTTGTTCATTGGATTTTTGCCTTTTACTGCATAGGACAATGTAGAATTTTACTACATAGGACATTGTAGAATTTTACTACATAGGACAGTGTAGGTCCCCACGAGCACTACAGCTCTTTGTCGGGAGCAACACACTACACAAAACTCTACATGGAGTATTAAAAACAAAAACAAAAAACTCTCTTTAAACTCTTTGAACTCTGACCTGTGAATTTGCATCACTTGAAGTCGCATGACCAATAGAAGAAAGCTGCAGGTTTGTAGCATTGCAGGAAAGTAAAGTAGATTATTAGTGCTGTCAAAATTAGCGTGTTAATGCATGCAATACATTTTTTCAGTTTAACGCGTTAAAAATATTTAACGCAGGGGCGGAGCTAGGGTTGGCCACCCCACTCACTTTTCAGACACGCACTGCAACTTCACCTCAGCGCTAGGCGCTAGTCAAATGAGTGTGAAAAGGTACAGGCGACGAGGAGATTCAGTAGAACAAGAGTGAACTGCCGTCAGATGAGATGTTGTCAGGCCATATGTCAGTAAAATATAATTTTCCTGTCTTGTCAGCCGTTATACTGTGCTCGTAGCACTGCTCTTCAAATGCAGCAGCACGCTGTGTATAATATAATATTAAAGTGTAAATGAAACTACGAGCATGCAATGTCGTAGTTATGTCGTCGGTTAAGTCATGAAGTTACCAAAAAGGCGATTAAAGATGCCTTAAAACTGTGCATGCATTTATATGAATCACATTTAAGAACATATCTCTGAAATGCAGTGGTTTTTAAAACTGTCCCGGAGGAACACTGTCCCTGCACTGTCTCCCTCATCTAACACACCCAATTCAACTCGTCAGCTCATTAGTAGAGACTTTAAGACCTGAAATGGGTCAGAAAAGGCAAAGAGTTGTGAGAAATGATGATGCTTGTCAGATCTGCGTGATGTTTAGCAGTGGCAACTCTTAAAGCAGCAACCCAGCTGCTGTGATGTCTGTTCATCAAAGAACAAAAGAAAAAAAAAAGAGGAAATCAATAACTTTTGTAGCTTTAAGGATTCATCAATATTTAATTTAGAATTTAGTGTTTGATAACTTCATTCAATTTCTGAATATTTCCTACTTGCTGAAGGGCACAGGTAAATATGACATTTATTATAGGGTTTATGTGTAGACTTATATTAAAGGTTTTGCTTTAAAGTCTAATAAATGTTCAAATTGAACATAATAAATAAATGTTCAGCTCTCAATTATACTGTAATGTTGAATGGCTACAGTCAATGGTTAAATATTAGGGGGGAAAAGTTTCCTAGAGACATCATGCAATCTGAGCAGCTCTGGTCTCGAAGAACCAAAACTATCACCCAGATACCATTTGGAATTTTTTTGTCAACTTTAAATGTAGGTAAATTTGGGGCTTTCTTGAGAGATAAGCTATCTAAGGTTAGGTTTGCATTAAATCAGGATATTGCATCTGAGATTATACAGTTCCATGATATGAGTCTGCATTTATTGCTGTTAACTCTTAATTTTAAAACAAAGACATGGAACTTTAGAATAGCTACTCAAACACAAGGAGCCTACCTACTTTGCTTATCACTCACTACATTGTAATTGTCTTTTAATTACTGGTATAGAAATGTTGATCTACTTTGTTTAATGTAACTACATCGCTTATATCCTTGATAGTAATGCCACATCTTTAGTTAAGAACATTGTGGGAAGACTGCATGGTTTTCTAACTGCAGGCTAATATTTGTGAATGAAATCTGAAGACATACCTTTTTGTTATCATGTTGACATTGTCTGATTCGGTCTGATATCCTACAATCTAAGATTTGGTCAAAAACATGGTTGAAACATGAGGAGCCGAATTCCACTGAGGCCTAAGACAACAGGATGGTCATAAATCAGATCCTAGCACTAGCCAGTCTGAAGCAAGCCTAGCCAACTCTTTCACAGAACAGCTTTCAACATTAACACAAAAGGAACACACTGATCATAACAACTCAGGAAGGAGATTGTCAATTTTAGGGCAAGTAATCAAGATTAAATGGTCAAAGAGATGACAGCATGACCCTCACGTGATAGTAAACACAATCATGAGCTCTGTATGTAATATCCATTGCAGAATTGACGTTATACGGCTCGTTCAGTGAATCGCTGGCCGTCTCAGTGATCAGCCGTAAAACAGTGATTCTGTCCAAATTCCCTTTAAAATCTTAAATGATTCCCTTTGAGCTAAATTGACCTGTTTCCGTTACAACATTATACCTATTATTCTTATGACTATTTCTGTTAATTGACCATGTGGGCAAAGTTAACGTGTATTGAATCTCGAATGGTTAAATATCAGATTATATATTGGTCTGTCACCAGTGTATACAAATGTATTTTTTTTTCTCTTCATCTATATTCAGCTTTGAGAGTACTGTGCAGATCAGTAAATTGCAGGATCTGGTGAACCGTAGTAAGATGGCTCGCTGTAGAGGGAGATTTGTCTGTCCAGTCATCCTCTACAATGGAAAGGTAATTATCTTGCCACAAGCAAATGAGAAAATTTTCAGTGAACAATTTGCCACATAGTAGTTTTTTGGACCGCCAGATGCTTTCTATTGGCGTTTCATTTTTTGTAATAGACTGCTATGTTATAGTTGTAGGACATGCCCCCTGTTAGGCATTTGGTTATTGATCTGTTATTGGTTTATTGATAGTAGACAAATCATAGTGTCAATAACAGATTTAATTTTTTCTTGTGAAATCTGGCTGTCGGGATCTTTAGTACTGAAGTGTAGAGTTCTGGACTATCAGCCTTTGACTTTGAAGGTTGGTATAATTTACTAGGAACTTCTAACAAGCCAGACTCCTCTGTAGTTAGCATTGCCAAGGACCTGTGTTTCTGTTTTAGTTCTAGTAACCTTAAACTGTTTTTTTTTCTCCTTTATTGTAGCATGTGTGTCGATCATCCACTCTAGCAGGTTGGGGCGAACTTTATGGACGCACTGGATACAACTATATTTTTTCAGGTACACATTCATTGTTAGCTACTACGAGCTATATCAGCATCATAATGATGTATCAAAAGTTGACAAATATGAACTTGACACATGCTGCAAGATGCTGAAAATACCATGAGATGTCGTGCAACTGCCAAAGACATTTCTCCAACAATGGAAAAAATAGAGCAGACAGAATGTGCTCTGTTTGAGTGATTCCTTACAAGTTTACATTTCCAGAAGGGCAATAAAAAAACAATTGATCACTGTATAGCACTGAGTACTGTTTATACTCTTCATCTCACCACTGACATTGTGCATTTGTACATGACACTTAACTTGAGTCACTTTGTACTGCAAATATGGAAGCTCTCTTGAATATTGCAGTCTAGAGTTCATAAAGTAAAAACTGCTTATAGGTCTTGGTAGATTAGATATGGATTTCTTTACTAATAGACTGAAAATGTTGGAGTATTTGTCTTTTTTGTTTACTGGAAATGTTCCCTAACCTGCATCCATATGCCAACAAATAAATAGGGACAATTGCCGATAATGGAGTATAACCTCCCCCCTTAACTCCTGTCATAGAAGTCCTAGCCTTCCTTGCCATTTACTCCCATTTAAGTTTGTTATTCAGATGCCAGTGGGCTATCTGTGATGGTCCTGGTGTCATTAAAAGATTCAATTCATTTTAATTAAGTAACTCATTTGGGCAGTCAGTTAAAGCTATTGATCCACCACTGGTGAACTGGACAGAGTCATAGGTTTGTGGACTTATGTAAGCCTTGAGGCCAAAAGACATCCATGGTCAATGGGAAAAATCTGTTTTCTCATATAAATTCACACAAGACATATTGTGTTGAAGTTCCATTCTCCTCCTTTATTATCTTGTTTGCCTAGATGATTGGCTGTAGCAGTCACACTTCAGGATTATGAGATGGTAATATCAAACATGCTTGAAAATATTGCAGTGTTTGTGACATAGGCTCAGATCTAGTCACTGAAGCAGCTCAAACACCTTACTTGAGTGCTGTCTGGGTTTTTTGGCATAGACCTCAATTATCTGTCTCTGACAGCAAAACCCCAAAAAATTTCATGCAGTAAAGGCACAGCTTCCGTCACTTAAACCGAACTTTGAAAATATTACAAAGATAAAGACTTGTATGTATATACATTAGAACAGGGGTGTCCAATCTTGCTTGTAATGGGCCAATGTCCTGCAAAGTTTAGCTCCAACTTCCCCCAGCACACCTGCCTGAAAGTTTCTAGTAAGCCTGAAGACTGGTTCAGGTGTGTTTAATTAGGGTTGGAGCTAAATTCTGCAGGATGGTGGCCCTCCAGGAGCAGGATTGGATACCCCTGCGTTACAAGATAGAATGTATTGTTAATTTGTTAAACTACATCCATTGATTAATACCTTGACGAGATTATTGTAACATTTCTATTACATGGTCTGAACTTCTCAAGCTACAATCATTTAATAAGAGAGCTTAAACTGTGGGGCAGTGTAGATGTAGCTGTGAACATTACTTATTGGATTGCATTAGGTTTAATCTCAAACTATTGCAGGGGGTTCAGATGACACCTTTGGTGATGCTGAAGAGGTTCCGGAGGATGACTGTGCAGTTCGGTAAGATAAGCTGGCAAGGAGCACAATCTTACAAGGAGCCAAATGTTTCAATTATATAGACAGTTGTAAACATAGGTCAGTAGTTTAACAATGGTTCTTGGCATGCTCCTGTGAATTGTGACAGAACTGATTTTGTGTGTGTTTTGTAAGAAAATATTTGTCTTCTAATCATCTTTTTTTCTCTTATTCTGTTCTTTCTCTGTCACTCTACAGGAATAATGATTCACAGTTGTTTGATAAGGTTAGGGGCTCTGACATTAAGCTGTTGAAGTACTTGTCTGTATGCTACATCTGTGACCTCATGGTAGAGAATAAGAAGGTCAAGTTTGGCCTCAAGTGAGTGAACTTTCTGTTGCATTCATGTTAGAATTCTTTTGTTAAATATGACATGATGTTTAGTAAATTATGTGTCATAAATAATGATATTAAACTTTGGCTTTCACACCCAAAACCAGAGCCATTATCAGGATCCAAAATAAAGACCAGACAGTCTTTATTTTTTATTCTAAATTTGTTATACATTGATGTGCACCTTTTTCTTTTTGGCTTTGATTGTTGATGTACATACATGTGCGCCTACTCAGGGAAGTCTCTAAAGATTAACAACAATAGCTGGCTCCCAGATTTTGGACAGCTTTGTAGTTATCGTACTGCAGTTTTTATTTTTATTATGTATTTATTATGACATGACTGTGTTGACTTACATTTTGTTCATATGTCTCTTTCTGTCTTTACAATTTTGTGCTTCAGTGTGACTTCCTCAGAAAAGGTGGACAAGGCCCACCGTTATGCTGACTTTACCCTACTCTCTGTGCCTTATCCAGGTGTAGATCTTCTTAATGCTGATTTAATTTCAAGAAACAATTTCTGTTCTGTTCTACTTATTCTATGGTATAAGTAATTGTTACACTATAGTTGTAATTTAAGTTGTTTCATGTGATTTTTTTTTCAGGATGTGAATTCTTCAGGGAATATAAAGACAGAGATTACACAGCAGAAGGGCTTGTCTTCAACTGGAATCAGGTCCATACCAAGCACAAACAGAAAAAAATATTGCTTTATTAAAGTCACTTTCATATCTCTGCATATTAGGCTGGGTTGTTGTTTGGCCAGAGAGGTTTATCAGAAACCGTTTAATTAAGTGCATTTGATTTTTCACTGACCATCACTTTTGGTTGTGTGTGTTTAGGACTATGTGGATGCTCCTTTGACAATCCCTGATTTCTTTACAAGAAACCTCAACATCAAATGGAGTGAATATCAGGTACTCAGAGTCTCTCATGCATTTTATTTTAGATAGACAGGGGTTGACTGGGTTTAAGGAAATGGCACAAGCTGGATCTAAAAACTCTGGTTGGCTTTGCATTAAAAATGTGTTGAAGCAGGCTACACGACCGGCAAAATGTCTCCATCTTTTTAGATAATTTGAGCTTAAATTGGTAGCGTTTTTGTCAAATATAGTTTAGTAATTGATGTCAAGGCACAGACCTTACTGTTCTAAAGATATAATGTATAAGGATATATATATATATATATATATATATATATATATATATAAGTGGGAGAACTTGCACAATTGGTGGCTGACTAAATACTTTTTTTCCCCACTGTATAAATAAATAAATGTATTCCTGGTGTGAGAGTACTACATTGAACAGTAGCTTTTGGGTGTCTTCAAAATTAAATGAAAAATAATTATCACTGTTTATTAGTAGATACAATGAACAGTGATGGTTAATTCACTGACAAAGGTTAATAAAGAATGCTGGATGGTGATCAACAGACTCAGATTATGTGTGTATGTTTTTCAGTCATGGGACCTGGTGCAGCAGACTCAGAACTACCTGAAACTGCTTTTACACATCATCAACTCTGATGGTAAATTACTGCACTTTCACAAACATCTTTGCCAAACTATAGAACAGGTTTTACTTCTCTGTATAATTTTGGATAACTATTTGGAGTGTTGTGGCCTGCAGATGAGAACGGTTTACTGGTGCACTGTATATCAGGCTGGGACAGGACACCTCTCTTTGTATCCCTGCTCAGACTTTCGTTGTGGGCGGTAAGTATTCATTCCTCTGTCTCTCGTTACATATGTCCTCATTTTATATCTTTATTCACTCCACCATGCTAAATATCCTCATTTCTTTTCCCTCCCCTCTTTCCTTTCTTTACCTTTCTTTGTGATGAATTAATTTTGCATTTTTATAGGACCGTGCCATTCATGCCAGTCTAGAGCCGTCTGAGATCCTTTACCTGACTATCGCATATGACTGGTTTCTTTTTGGGTTAGTCTCATTCCTGTTTCACTTACACATCTACGTCTAGGAATGTACCAATATTAAAAGTTTATATTATAGCTGATAATTATTTTCATGTTATGGTAGATATTAAAAATGGTTATTTTCTCTAAAAATAAAAATGTATATAAAATAAATCACACATAGTAACATTTCAATGTAACATTACTAAATTACTGAACTTAACTCATTTTATGCATGAACACATTGGCTGTGCTATTATCAAATGCACACAACTAACACTTCAAGGAGCACTGATGTACCATAAGAGAGCTATTCATTAACACTAGAACTACTGGAATTATATAACTACTAGAATGGCCATAGCGGTCATTCTTACCATTCATACTAGACTGAATTGAATGCCATTTTTGTTCAATCATATTTATATTTGAAGCTTCTTTTGAGGTTTTACAATGAAGCTTTGAATGTCTGTCATCATATTTTATGAAGTCATCACCATAAAAAAAAAGATATTTTTTTAAATATATAATTGTGTAAGAGCTACTAGACCACTCCTGAATGTGCTTGTCTCGCTTTGTGTCTGGCAAGCAGGAGAGAAAAGGTTTTTCTCCGCAGTGAAAATGTTGTATTTGAAAGTCTAAATGCCAACAAATATTTCCAAAATGCCATGTTTTATATTTAGATAAAACATGTTGTGTTTTGGAAATGATTACATATATCTTTTTTCAATACATTTTGAGTTTTATACGTTACAACGTTCTGGAGTTATTTGAAATGTTTGGATCACACGAATAGGAAACAATTCTATGCAGCCACCACTGGAATCATAATCCATGATTAAATGGATCCGTTATGATATTATAGGTAATAATAAACATTGTCACTGTCGCAAAAAAAAAAGAAGCCTAATTTGTTTTATTTCACAATATCAGTCTTGTCAGGGGTCAAATTAGCCTATATGCATTAGTTATAGCATTACACTAACATAATAATAATAATAATGGCTATTTTGTCATAACATATACATATTATTGATAACAGCCAGGCTACATGGAACTGTGGCAGATTGAATGACAGCTGTTGTCGAATTGGAGGTGTCCACCCAGCTTTTTTTTTTACGGACGGGAATTTTAGCTTAGCAATAGAATACAAAAACAACTAAAGTTACTAGGCAACAGTGACGTGCATCTTCAACCGCGGGATAAAGTTGCAAAAGCTGAAATTATATGCCGTCTGTAATGTGTACAGTCAATTTATACGCTTTGGCCATTGAAGGTAAATATACTCAGACCTCTTTTGTGTTTTGTAATTTTAATACAATAACAGTGTTAGAATAAAATATACACACATTTAAGAAAAGTCAGACTATTATAGTTATATGGGTCTTATTTCAACAAAATTATTACATTGCAAAATTTTAAAACGGTCAAAATGACTGCCTTAGTAGTTCTATTCTCATTCATCCCTTGGCACTTATTTGCCTGGCACATGTAGCCCAAGAAGTATGTCACCAGCAGTGTGCCATGTGACTTTGTAAACGACATGATAGCTTTTGTAGGAAACCCAGAAAGCTAATACTTTCCGTACCCACTGTATATAGCCCTGGTCGCAAGAGAGCTCGCAAGATTTAACATCGATATTGCGGCCCTGTGTAAAACTCACCTAGCCAGCGAAGGTCAGCTCACAGAAACAGGAGGCGGTTACACGTTCTTCTGGTGTGGACGCAGCAGTGACGAACGTCGTGAATCTGGAGTTGACTTTGCGGTTAAGAATGATCTTGTCTGCAAACTTGCCAGTCTTCCTAAGGGTGTGAACGACCGACTCATGACACTGTATCTCCCACTACCGAGTGGAAAGCAAGCCACACTGATCAGCGCCTACGCACCCACAATGACGAATTTGGATGAAGTAATGGACAAGTTTTATGAGGATCTCGATGCCCTACTCTCATCCGTGAAGCACACTGACAGGCTGATTCTACTTGGCTACTTCAACGCGAGAGTAGGGCCGATCACTCTGCCTGGGATGGCGTCATTGGAAAAAATGGAATCGGCAAATGTAACAGCAATGGCCTACTTCTACTGAAGACATGTGTGGCTCATGATCTGATCATCATCAATACCATTTTCCACCTGCCCACTTGCAAAAAGACGTCCTGGATGCACCCACGCTCCAAGCACTGGCATCTTATTGATTATGTCATTGTACGGAGGAAAGACAGACAGGATGTAAGGGGTGACCAAGGCCATGCCGAGTGCTGACTGTTGGACTGACCACAGACTCATCATCTCCAAATTAAGCCTTTACATCAAGCCAAAGAGACGTCCGCAGGGAAACAAAGAAGAGATCAAGGCCCTACTTGCTGAAAAGTACCGCCTTCACCATGCTCATCAGAGCGACCCGTCGTCAACAGTTAAGAAAAATACCTTCAATAACACTCGCAGGACCATACAGAGCAAGCTTCGCAAGATGCAAGACTCCTGGAGTGCCAAAGCAGATGAAATCCAGAAGTCTGCTGATAGAAACGTTGCCAAACTGTTCTATGAAGCCCTCAGATCCTTGTATGGACCTCAGCCCTCAGGGAGCTCCCCTATACTGGACTCAGATGGTGTAACTCTCATTACTGAGAAGACTCTGATTCTACAGCATTGGGCTGAGCACTTCCAATCCATACTGAACCGCCCATCTTCCATCAATAATGAGGCGAGTGACAGAATGCCCCAGGCGGATATCAACTACAGCCTGGATGTCCCACCATCAGAGACTGAAACCTTACAGGCCATCAGCCAGATGTCTAGTGGCAAGGCCCCAGGATCTGACACGATCCCAGCGGAAGTCTATAAGGCTGGTGGTGCAGTGCTTGTGGACAAACTCACTCAGCTGTTCCAGTCCTTCTGGAATCAAGGATCCATTCCTCAGGAACTGAAAGGCGCGTCCATTGTACCCCTCTATAAGAGGAAAGGAAATCGACAAGTCTGCGATAATCATAGAGGAATATCACTGCTTTCCATCGCTGGCAAGATCCTTGCACGAGTGTTGCTGAATCGCCTGACTGACCACCTGGAACAGGGTCTACTACCCGAGACACAGTGCGGCTTCTGTAAAGAGGGTGGCACGGTGGACATGATCTTCGCAGCCCGACAGCTCCAGGAGAAGTGTCAAGAGCAGAATCGTGAACTGTGCACCATCTTCATGGATCTCACCAAGGCTTTTAACAATGTCAGTCGCGACGGTCTGTGGTGCATTATGTCGACGTTTGGGTGCCCTGACAGATTCATTCTGATGGTACGTCAGTTCCACGACGGCATGACAGCTCGTGTTCTGGATGACGGAAAAGCTTCAGGGGCCTTTCCCGTCACAAACGGCGTCAAGCAAGGGTGCGTGTTGTCACCGACCTTGTACAGCATGATGTTTTCAGCCATGCTGTCAGACGCCTTTCAGAACAGTTCCTTGGGAGTCAGCCTGAGATATAGGACAGATGGGAAAATGTTCAACCTGCGAAGACTCCAGGCTGTCACCAAGATAAAGGAGACTGTGCTACGAGACCACCTTTTTGCTGACGACTGTGCCCTGAATGCTGGATCAGAGCAGGAAATGCAAGCAGCATGGACAAATTCACAGCAGCATGCGACAACTTCGGCCTCCTTATTATTAACACAAAGAAAACCGAAGTGATGCACCAGCCAGCTCCGAAAGCCCAATACCAAGAGCCCACCATCACAGTGAAGGGACAAAAGCTGCAAGCAGTGGACCTATTTACATACCTTGGTAGCACCCTCTCCCGCGCAGTGACAATTGACATCAAGGTCAACTGCAGAATTGCCAAGGCAAGCTCTGCATTCGGCGGACTGCGGACCAACGTGTGGGACCGCCGTGGAATAAGCCTTGCTACAAAGCTTAAAGTCTACCGGGCAGTAGTGCTGACTACCCTGATGTATGCCAGTGAGACTTGGACTGTATACAGGAGGTACGCTAGGCAATTGAACCACTTCCACACGACTTGCCTCTGCAGACTTCTGAGGATCAGGTGGCAGGACATGCCCGGCATGCGGCAGATCATTCCGTGCCCGTATCGGCCTTACCAGCCAACTGCAGACACACCGTGGACAGCCTACAACCCGTTAGATGTCTAGGTCCTCTTCGAAAACGATGGATGAACATCAAAAAAAAAAATAATCGTATTAAATATAAATATATACAGGGAAATATATACAAGTCAGTAAAAAAAAATCCCCCCGGGTGATGCTACCCCACCAACCACCAACAGAGCATATAAAATACCAAAAAATTAAATAATTTTTAAGTAAAATGCTGCAACATGACAATACAAACAACAATAAAATCAGAAATGGACTTTAACTGTCAGCGCTCCCGCTTAATAGAGGGGGGGGGGGGTAATGAGGAAAAAAAAATAACTTAAATGATTTTAGCAAATGGCTGCAATATAACAAAGAGTGAAAAATTTAAGGGGGTCTGAATACTTTCCGTACCCACTGTATATATATATATATATATATATATATATATATATATATATATATAGAGAGAGAGAGAGAGAGAGAGATATGTATGTTGTTGTTAACTTTACTTTATGTTCTATAACATAAATATACAAATGTTTGCTAAAGGTAGTCTGAAGGGTGAAAAAAGAAAAATATGAAGTTTGATCTGCCATCATTAGGCAACAACAAAAAAAATAATATTCTCATTCTCTTAATTTTTAATTTTTGTCCTTTTCCATAGTCACATGTTGCCTGATCGGCTCTCTAAGGGGGAGGAGGTGAGACCATATATTTAATATCTATGCCAAGAATATGTGTTACTTATGAATGGAATACAGTTTATGTGCTTTAAATAGTAATTATTATTTAGTGTGCACATCCCAACCAGATTGTTCATGTTGTCTGCCTGGCTCAGCCTTGAATAGAGGATGATTTGTATGTTTATTGCACATAAAATGTTTTATATAAAATCAGTTTTATTTTTGATATTCTCTCTCCTAGATTTTCTTTTTCTGCTTCAATTTTCTGAAGCATATTGTTTGTGACACATTTTCAGTCATAAAAAAACAAAGGTAAGCTATCTTATGATTTTAAATACAAGAATCATCTTTGTGTCTCATGAGTATGTGTAGAATATAATAATTTGATAGTCTTTGAACCCAGTTAGTATCAAGAAGCTTTTTTTTTATTTAAGCTTTTCTCTGTTATTTTAAACATGCTAAAATTTAGCTTATGAAAATGTTTTAATTGCTGGTAGACATTAACCTGTCCTGTTTTTTTGTGCAGCCATATGTGGTTGTTTTCAAGGGTGTGATTTATTTTATTTATTAATTTTTTTATGGTGCAATAACCGTTTAACAAAAGTCAATTCTTATCTTGATTTTGAAGAGTATACTGAAGCAAATGATACCCAGTGTTCCTATTTTGGCCATGTTAAGCTGCAGCCATTTTTAATTTAGCATTATATTCTGTTACAGAGCCATTGGTTGACTTATTTGATTCGTGTAGGTCTCTGTAAATTGTGTGGGGTGGGGGGATCATCCACTGGAAATATGTTACATCCGAGCAAATGGTTTTATATACTGCAGAGGTTCTTTTGCCTCAAGAACCAGTGGTGTTGGTTAAACCTTTTATAAACTACTAAAGATTGCATAAAGTACTTTTGCCAACTATTTTTTTTTTTTTAAATCCCATCAAAAACATTCTTTTCAATCCCTAGATCAGTCATTTTAAAAAGATAAACTTTTAATTTGGCATTAAAGCATTTAGGCCTGTAACTTCTCAAGTGTTTGTCACAGACTCAGCCTTATACTGTATCATTGGAATTCCAGGCCTTTGTCACTGTACATCTCGATTATAGGCCTTCTCACTCTGAACAACTTTGTGTTGACAGAAATGTTTTCTGAGGCAATCAGTTTTTTTTTTTTTTTTGCAATTGAACTTTGAATTCGCCGTGACTTCTACATGACCATCAGTCATTATATAAGCATTGCCTAATGACCCCAAGCATCTATAACATATGAACAAAATACCCAGTTTTCACAAAAATTCATGTGTGCACCAGCTTGATTTTGGAAAAGGGCTTATTGTTCCTCTCAATCTGTCTGTATCTCTGAATCAAATGGCAGTATGGATTTATTTTTCTGTGATTCAAGTTTTCACCATTTTAGATTGGATAAATTAAAATAAGAATCTAATTCCTTACAGATCATTTGTTTGATTGGTATGACATTTTGTATGTATTATCTAGAGACAAACACAAAGTTTTGATTCATCAAATCATTTACAGTTCCAATTAAATTCTAGTTAATTTATTTTACTCAAAAATTCACCAAATTCCACTAATAGGACAAGCTGTAAGTTCAACATCTTCATAGGTTCTGTGATGGTTTCATACTTTCATTGAGAAAAGTTTGATATAATAAATTTGGTGACAAATGTATTTTGTTCTGCTAAATTTCTCAGTGCTGTTGGACCCAGATATTTGCAGATTTGGACTGTATTAATGTCTGTTTCTTTTTTATTATTATGATTACTGTAACAGAAGAAAAAATTCTCAGTTCAAAGATGCTGACTTCACAGTTGATGACCTCTGCCAATTAAGTAAGTTCTGTTTTTTCTCTCTCTAAATTTCTGCCATTTTTTAGAATGAACTTTCATTAAAATTAGTGATTCAGTGAATATTCTGACTACAGTAGTCAAGCAGCAGATCTCAAACCTTTATGCTAATGATTTCTTTCTTTCTCTGTCTCTGTCAGAGTCCAGAGATCGGGGTAGTGTGACGAGTTTGAGCAGTGATTTCTCTCTCATCACAGAAGATACATCTGTTCCCTCCAGTCTACATGCAGAAGCCACAGACTTGACTACCAGTGGACCACAGGCTTCTAATGGGTAAGGCTTACAAAATAAGAAGTAAACGGGCACCTTTAATTGCACCTGTGTAAGACAAGTACATGTTACTGGCAGGATTAGTCAGTTAGCCAGACAGAGACTAACCAGTCCCAATGGCCAATCATAAGATATACGTGACCTGTCCTCTGTAGGAACAGCACTCAGATACTGTCAACATGTATATATCTAGCCACAGAAAGGGGAAAAATATATTAGCGTACCATGTCATTATTTTCTTTTCTTGTTCACATTTAATATGTGAATAAAAGTTTTTTCACTTGACAATTGCTGCTTTGAATGTTGTTGACTTATTTAGTGTTTATCACAGGAGGAAAGGCATGCCGTTGTCTTCTCATTCTGTGCATGGGAACCGACCGCTTGCTTCAGAGGAGCGAATGCCTAATATAATCACTGAGGCCAGTCCTCTGGGGTCTTTTAAGTCCTCAAGCTCCTCCTCATCCAACCACTCAGATCAAAATGTTACACGGACAGGAAGTACCCCATTAGCTGTACCAGGAAGGAGGTGATTACTTGCAAAGTTTATTTTGTAGTGCTTTTGTCTGTTTTTTTCTTGCTCTAATACTTTGAATCTCTCTCTGAATCTAAGGCCAAGAGTGGAATATGCTCGGTCAGGCTCCTCGCTGTCCACAGATTATGGCAGTTGGCAGATTGTCTCAGGATGTGGGAGCATCCATGATCTTCCCCCAGTGCCCTCAGAGTCTCCTCTGCCATTCAGCTTCCAGGATGAGGGTCCCAGCGGACGAATGTGAGTCTCATACACAATCCAACTCCACCTAAACTCATTCACTGTATTCTTGTAATTTAACAATAAAGTTGTAAAATTGAGACTGAATGAGTAATATTGTTTTTACAATAGTCATGATTATCACAATAGGAATAGGGTGCATTCATGGAATAGGCAGCAGCTTCATCATTGCAACATGTGAAGAATTTTGTTGAATCCAAAAACTAAGAGACCAAAAAATTATTGTTTTTCCATCAGCACCATGCTATTATTAGTATTCACACATGTCAGTCATTATGTAGGGAACTGATTTTATTCCAGAGAAAGAACCAGACAGACATTCCAGAAATTGCCCTTTTGTGCAATCCTAAATGGAACCAGTTGTCGCCATTTCATTTGAGTTTTACTTACTTTATAACTTATTTCTCATATTTTGATCTGATTTTTGAAATATTACTTTTTTAAAACCAGAAATACATCTGCTATGTTCATTTATGATATTGTAAGGTCTAAAGACGTGAAGAATTTTTTAATATATATGTATTGAGCTGTGTTTGAGGAAGGCACAAAATATTTGGTGATTTAAGTGAAGGGAGAGAATATGACGACAAATGCATTTTTTGGTCTTTTTTTTCTTCTCCTTTATTTTTAGGTGCACATTTGTACCTGACAGGCAAGTGAGGTTGGAGGCAGTGAGGGAATTGTTCCTTGCAGCCTATAGCTCTACAGTAGGACTCAAGTCATCGTCTCCAAGCTCCTCCGGTGCCATCTCAGGCCTGCTGGAGCAGTTTGCCCGTGGGGTCGGCCTTCGTGGCACTAATGCCATTATCTGATACATTTCACTCAACTTTTACACACCCTCAGGACTTTTCAGGTCATCTTTTTTTTCCTCCTCTGCATCTTGATGTTGCACCATATCTACCACATCAGGAGTACCTAATTTATTGGTGAAGCTGCACAGTGTATTTCATCCCCTCGTCCATCTCTCAGCCTCTAGCAGCTCCTCTCTTCTCTTCTCACTCTTATAGTCTACTCTCACTTATTCCAGTGCAATTCTCTTCCTGCAAAAAAAGAAGAGTGCCAAATCTAAATACAGGGCTACATTAAACTGACTGTTTTTTCTTTTACTTTATGAAAATGTTGTTCTCTACAGACCAAATAATACAGTACGTCCATTTATTTTCTAATTTAGATTTTAATTTGTGCTGTCTTTCGTCTTTCTTTTACTTTTTTTTGCATGTTGCACATTTATACTGTAATAGGGAAGAATAGAGAGGGGCAGGAAAGGGAAAATTATCTCAATCTCAAAAATGAAAAATGCTTAAAATTATACTTTTAACAAAAAGGTGATTATAATAGAGGAAAAATGATTTATTCACCCATTTTAATGGCTTGTTTTATTTTAGTTGCTGACTGTCTTACACACTTAAAAGACATTGCTCTTGAAATTATTGTAGTGATTGACTGCTTTTTAGACCTTCAGGATTTGAATTAAGCCTAAAGACAGTCAGTTGTTTTGTGGTAGTTTTAGAAATGGAAACGGTTTGGGCAGTGGTAATGTAAGACAATGTCATTGTTCTTTTAAATGAACATTTTTTTGAATTATTTAATGAGTGTGTGTTATGAATTTAATTCACTTTTGTTGTCTCTAGATTATTTTTAAACTGCAGTACTCAAGTACACAAAATTGTAAAGATTCATTTAATCAGAGCTAATCTATGCAGAACAGCAATCCATGTCCTGCACTCACTTTTTCCTAAGTCAAGTCGTTTTTGTTATTAGACAAGTTTTTTTTTCCTGAATGATTTGGGGTAAATGCCTCAGAATAACTGATTTGCCTTAGGAGTAGATATTGATGAATGGCTATAAGGTTGCACTTGAATTCAAGGATTGAAAACATGGAATTAGTAGTGTTTTGGACATAAAACCATTGTGGCCTCGTTACCTCAGGGCCTTTTATTGTGCCTTTTGTTCTTAAGGAGATACAATTCTGTTTTCATGCACAGCTGTATTATTTTGCTTTTAGATTTAAAACCATGCCTTGCTATATATCTGTTTCTCTTTTTGTTAGCTTATGACAGAACCAATGTCCGTTTGTACTGTAGCAGCTTCCAGTGTTGGGCAAAATTCAGACTTAAATTCAGACTATACAAACTCCTTGTCAATTCATGTGTGATTTTTGGAATCAAGCACAACAGTGGCAGATCTGTTAACAAGTACATTTAATAGGCTGTAACATCCTGGTAATAATTTTACAAAAGTGGTTCAAAGATATAATTAAATATGCTTACAATAAAATTGCCTATAACTCATTTATACAGTAGGTGGCACTGTTACCAAGTTGACAATTTTAGGGTATGGTTACATGCAAAGTTTCATGTCAGTGTCCCAAAGCATTGCTTTACATGCTTTTTTGACATCTTGCCATAAAATTGTTGGTGTGTTATGTGAGAACAGTTTATTCAAAAAGCCTGAATGGTCATGAGAACGGTTTGATGCATCAAAAAGCTTTTATAAATTTTGGTCAGCATGGTCTAAAGATTGAATGATGGTCTGAGCCAAATTGAATGAAGATCTCATAAACGTCTTAGGAGGAGTTTGATGATAAACAGAAGAAAAAAAATCTAACGGGCTAATGTTGATTTGGATTACCTCAGAGCCACTGTAGAAAATGGAAACAGCTAGGGGTGATATAGAATTGGAGGAAGACCCAAACACGCTCTATTAAACTAAGCAAAAAGAAACCCAGTGTTTCTACCCCAAAAAAAAATCTAACGGGCTAATGTTGATTTGGATTACCTCAGAGCCACTGTAGAAAATGGAAACAGCTAGGGGTGATATAGAATTGGAGGAAGACCCAAACACGCTCTATTAAACTAAGCAAAAAGAAACCCAGTGTTTAGAGATCATCATGCCTCTACACTGTTAGTCTACCACCTAAAATTGGTTCTGCTAAAAATTAATTTTCTTTTATTTTGATAAGTATGGGTTAGTCAAGTAATTCCCCCGGTTCCCTCGACAAAAGCCAGTAGGAAATTTCCATTGCCTTTTGGATCAGAGATCATCATGCCTCTACACTGTTAGTCTACCACCTAAAATTGGTTCTGCTAAAAATTAATTTTCTTTTATTTTGATAAGTATGGGTTAGTCAAGTAATTCCCCCGCTTCCCTCGACAAAAGCCAGTAGGAAATTTCCATTGCCTTTTGGATTATTGCAGAAAATAATTTCTGCAACCAACAAAAGTTTGATTCTTACATCTTTTGCAATCACAATATTCCTCAGAAATGAAAACAACTTTTATGATTTATACATTTTAAAAGCTGAATGCAATTGCCAGATGTAAATACCAAAAGTTTGGCTATAAATAAAGCACCATTTTCATATGAATTAAATGTCATCACCACTAAGCTTCTGACAAATATTCCAGTATTTATTCAAAATGTAAAAGTTTAAAAGTTTGAGCTAAAATAGTTTACAAGGGCTAAAAAGAACATTATTTTTTGTATTTGGTGTAATGAAATGTGTTTGTGGTTTAAGGTAAAAAAAAACATTATTTTCCACATACTGTACATTATTGTTTCTCCTCTATGCCCCGCCTTTCTGAAACGAGTTGATTTTTACAAAACTCATCGGTCTGAAAAAGCGAGGTGTGCTGTGATTGGCCAGCTATCCAGTGTGTTGTGATTGGCCAAATACCTCAAGCGTGAGACGGAAATGTTACGCCCCTCACCATACTGTTGATGCCGTCTCCCGGAGCGACAAGGCAAAAAACATGAAAACCCATTATAAACGAGGCATTTGTTGCATCCAGTGGGGACATAATTACGGATTATAATGACTTTTTACGTGTTGCGTTGCATCGCGCCGTGTAAACAAAACCATGTCTGCATTTGTGATCAGAAATGACAAACAAGCACTAACGTTACTCTACACTGCTGAAAATTTGCGTTTGAATCATCAGTGTCAAATCCTTTAAATGAAAACGTACTTACAGACTGTAAGTCAGAACTGCCGGCGGCTGGCCAGTGTGAGCTGAGCAGCACTAAGTTGATGTATTTCCTCAGCGACCAGCACAGATCAGCTCTAGGCATGACGAAGCGGATATCGTCCTCTTTTGGAAGACCAAACAAAGTAGTTTCGCTTTCACAACGCAGCACACAGCACCTTCACGACAGCAAAAATACTACAGCGAGAATAAAAGTTACGCCTTCTTTCTTTGCGTGAACATTTGGGCGGTGTTATGCAAATCGTGTTAGAACGGCGTGTTAGAACGAGCCGTTTTAGGTAGGTGTGGTTAACTCTTACCTTTTATAAAGAATATCTCTTTGGATTTGAGACTATAGTCTTTGTAACTTCACAGATCTTCTTTATGCACCAAGAGCTTGTAATACTCCAAAGAGAAAGAAAAAATTGAAATCGCATCATATGACCCCTTTAAGACTGATTTAAAGCAGCACTATGTAACTTTTTCTGTGTTCAAAATTAGCTAAATGTATATAATGAGCGAGTACATCATGAATTCATCTTCCAAACCGCGTTTTTGTCTTATTCCGAATCACTACAGTACACTTATAATATATTTGGACTATTGTAGCCTGGTCGGGTCGTCACCGCTGCGGAGTAACACATACCTGCGTGAATCGCCATAGACATAAACTTAGAGAAGTAGCTCCGGTTGGAATGTTCGTCCGCGGGATGTGTGCAGTTTTGTTTATTAACCGCTAGAGCGCCAAAAGTTACATAGTGCTGCTTTAAGGTGATGAGTCCTTGGGTAACTTCTGGTCTTTGAACACTTCAAAATGAAAGTCTTAAAATGGCCCTTTCTAAACTGTAATTGATCCATTATGATGGAAATAACAATGAAAAATTTAAAATCGTTTGTAGTACAATTATGATCAATATAAAAAAACTGTCATTTTTAATAGGCTATGTGGTGCAACAATCCTAGACTGCATTCTTATTTGCATCATCCCTTCTGTTGAAGTTGCACTTGACTAAAGGCATTTATTTGAACACTGCTGCATCATTAACCACAGACAAAATTGGAGTTATACATGCTACAGGAGTTGGGGGCATGATGTATGTCTGGGCTACTTGTTTTATTATAAATTAATGTAATCTGTCATATCCAAAAGGCCTAAATTGAATGATAATTGCCTGTTGTGATTTTAATATGAAAATAACATGATTTGGTTATAGTAAATGTGTGTTCTTATGTGACTTATAATCATAATAGTTGTATTATAACTGTTGCATCCCATCTATTTAACCATGAATGAACCACACCAGGAACTAATTAAACTCAATAAAAACAGTGGAGTCTGACTAACTTTTCAGTTTATTTTAGCCTATTCTAGCAGTTCTGGATTGATGTGTAATGACTGGTGGGTAAATTATTGTCTCTACTTGTGATGTACTGATGAATCCTTGTTCCCTATGATCACAGACACACTACGCATTACCTTACTGCACATTAACTTGAGGGAACCCGCCTTTATTGTGTATCATGGAGCAACTGCATGACCTCCTTACTTTGGTGAGAGGTGTATTTGCTGTATTGGAATAATCCCAAATGACCATTTTATTAAGTGATATGAGTGATATCTGGACTTTAACCCCCAATTTTTTCTAGACATGAAAACATGCAAATGATGTGTCATTATTAACACTTTAAAAAGAAAGAAAGAAAAAAATATATATATATGAAAAAGTATGTTTTATGGTTGGTCACAATTGTGACAAGTGGAATAGAAGTTATTACTCCACCTGTGTGACATCAACATAACTTCTATATTCGATGTTTGACAAGTTACTAAAAGGTGTAACTAGTTAGTCAATCTCTCCAAAGATGCCTTGTACTGGTGGTTAAGAAGCAAGTTGCATAAAAATGAAAATGCATGGCCCTGATTGACTATTTCAACTGATGTGAGAAACCAGACTACCTTTTGAAAGGTAAAAACAACAAAACAGAGAACACATTCTTTAAATGTTTATTTTTTCCACATACAAAAAAAATCCATATATAGAGTCCCTAAAATTATCATGAAAATTTTATTAAGTGATATGAGTGATATCTGGACTTTAACCCCCAATTTTTTCTAGACATGAAAACATGCAAATGATGTGTCATTATTAACACTTTAAAAAGAAAGAAAGAAAAAAAATATATATATATGAAAAAGTATGTTTTATGGTTGGTCACAATTGTGACAAGTGGAATAGAAGTTATTACTCCACCTGTGTGACATCAACATAACTTCTATATTCGATGTTTGACAAGTTACTAAAAGGTGTAACTAGTTAGTCAATCTCTCCAAAGATGCCTTGTACTGGTGGTTAAGAAGCAAGTTGCATAAAAATGAAAATGCATGGCCCTGATTGACTATTTCAACTGATGTGAGAAACCAGACTACCTTTTGAAAGGTAAAAACAACAAAACAGAGAACACATTCTTTAAATGTTTATTTTTTCCACATACAAAAAAAATCCATATATAGAGTCCCTAAAATTATCATGAAGGTTGTCAATTATAAAAATGAAAAACCTGGCACCCTGAACTTCACAGGAAAATGAGGCGGTCCGATTTTGAAGGGCCATTGGACTTCAGCAGTGCTGATTCAACGTAGTAAGGGTCAGGACATTTCTGGTAATATTCGTATCATGGTGCTATTTAATATCGCTAAGGGGTTACTAAATTGGAAGCAGGGAGGATGATGCAAAAGACATTACAACTGCATTGGAACAACATTTGTTTTGGTAGCCGGTGTATAATCAGTCTAAACTGCTCTACAGAGTGCTCAATTGTTTGTGACCCTGCTTTTAAGCGATTAAGCTCATATGACTACACAGCAAAATTTTTGATGATGAATTGACTGGTCCTTGGTAACAATGTAAATATTAGACTAAGCCCTCACAAATGGCAAACGGTCTGTATGAAGTTCAGCATCATACTAAAATGGTGTATTTTTCTCACAAACACTTTTATATGCCACGTAAAGATTTGTGTTCACCGTGGCATAAAATGCATGTAGGGCATTGTTACAGATAACCAAACTCATTTCGGAATCAAAACAACACACTTTCAACAAATGAAAAAAGGCTGAATCTCACAAATAGAATTCTAACAAAGTATTAAAGCTTTCATGTTTACTTTATACTGAAGGTTTAGTCACTTTATTGTGTATAAAACCACCAGCGGGAACAGTGGATCTTTTTAGGGTGCCGTTTACATCATCTTATATATACACACCCACACTGTTCACATAATCCACTAGGAAGAGGAAAGGAGGAGCACAGCACTGAATTGTTAATATGTGCAGTCTCAATGACAGTCTCTGTATAAACTAAATTTAAATGGACTACTGATACACATTTTAATTCTGCTGGTTACTCAAGACAAATAAAATTAGTAAATATATCAGAGGGAGAGCAAAAAATAAAATAAAATAAAAATAAGAGCAACCGTGTACTGCTAATTTGAGATAGTAGATTGCAGACAGGTTAGTACCTGTCAGATTAAACATTAAATGCCAGTCAACAAAGGTGAAAGTAATGGAGATGGGACATTTTAAGTAAAACCTTTCACAGCAATTTCAGCCTCAAATAGCATTAACATTTAATTCCCAATACTGAATATGTAATTTTGGAAGAATGTTTGCTGACATTGGTTTTGAACAGCACTGATTTGCTTAAAAATCTGACTGCATTAGGAAATAATTCATCAGGAGAGAACCTGTTACTGAACTCCTCCGTTATAATAAATGGCATGGTGATGTGTCTCTTAACTTCAGCATGTGAGTTTACTGCATGCCTTACATCACAGCACACTTCTTCTCCTCTGATGGGGCGTTTCCATCAACTTTTTCCATTTCCAGAATAATCCTCTTGAAAACTTCTACAGCTGTCTGTAAAATGAATGTTCTTTTACAAAGAAGAACATATACACAAATGTCCATACTATACAGAAAAGGAAAATGTGTATTGCAGAAATGTGTCTATTACATGTTTTGTAAACAACTGTAAAGTAAGCAAAAGTTCCTTATTTATAAGAAAGAAAGAAAAAAGTAAAAACAGTTACCTGATTTTCCTTTGCAGATGACTCCATAAAAGCAGCACCCCAAGAATCAGCTAGCTTCTTGCCCTCTTCTGGTTTAATCACTCTAGAGAGAGAGAATACTGTGCCTTCCAACTTTTTGGACAATTTTATGGTCTGAAATGTATTTAACTCATTGTTGATTGATGAATGTTAAGGAGTTAATTAGATTGCAAAGGCCAAATTAAATTTGCTAAATTAATTGTGATTTTTAGTATATGCAAGCATGTTTACCACAGAAAATACTTAGGTCTACTAAATATTGAAATTTGTTTTAAAACTGTCAAGAGCATTGACGTTAAATGTTGTCCAAGTTAGACAAACACCAATTGAACTATAACTTGTTTGAAGAACCTTTAAAAACTAATTCAAAATGACTGATAAACAATATGGCCTAGGTAAAATTGGTATCCATCTAATACGTCCTATGGCAAAAATGTAAAAGGCTTTATTATAGCGCCACTTGTCAGACTGATGCATGCATGTATGCCTGAGTTGTAGGGGGATTTGGGACAATTCTACCACGTTTGGAGTCTATGTGATGTACTGTTTCTAAGAACTGTTCCCTAAATAAGTAAAAAGTAATATTAAACAGATAATTATAAAAAAAATACAACAACACCATCACCACCAACAACATATATAATACGGTTTAAGTGCTTGGTCCCTAAAAATATGCAAAAGGGGAATATATAGTATATGCTTACCTTTCCATGTGAAGGTCTTTTTTGTTTCCAACTAGAACAGTAGGTACCCTGGGTAAATATGCAATATTATGGCTTCATGTTTTATGACCTTGTAATATTTTAGACCATATGTTCACAAGTTTAAACCACACTTACTGTATCTTTCCAACCATATCAAGAAGCTTGTCGTGTAGAACCTGCACAACTTCAAAACTGAAAACAGAGCGGATTGTTTACATTTGATTGCTTTCTGAAAAGCATTCAGATCAGCATTTAAGCCCTTACACTCAGAAGAAAAATAACCCATATCAGAATATGAGATTAAAAAATGTCCTTCTCAGCCAATATAGTGTCACTAGTGTTATAGTATATGCAATGGGTTTGACAAATAACAAATATTAGAAAAAAAATAAATGCAGTGTTTCGCTGGGCAAATTGAAACCTGTCTAGAACTAGCCCTGTGTTCCCACACTTATGTAATAGAAAAGGTAATATACAGTATCTCACAGAAGGGAGTACACCCTTCACATTTTTGTAAATATTTTATTATATCTTTTCATGTGACAACACTGAAGAAATGTAAAGTAGTGAGTGTTCAGCTTGTATAACAGTGTAAATTAGCTGTCCCCTCAAAATAACTCAACACACAGCCATTAATGTCTAAACCATTGGCCACAAAAGTGAGTACACCCCTAAGTGAAAATGCCTAAATTGGGCCCAATTAGCCATTTTCTCTCCCCGGTGTCATGTGGGGAGCAGGTGTGTTAAATTTGGTGTTATCGCTCTCACTCTCTCATACTAGTCACTGGAAGTTCAACATGGCACCTACTTCATGGCAAAGAACTCTCTGAAGATCTGAAAAAAAGAATCGTTGCTCTACATAAAGATGGCATAGGCTATAAGAAGATTGCCAAGACCCTGAAACTGCTCAGGATCATATCCAGAGGTTGTGTTTGGGAAATAGACGTATGAGTGCTGCCAGCATTGCTGCAGAGGTTGAAGGGGTGGGGGGGTCAGCCTGTCAGTGCTCAGACCATACACCGCACACTGCATCAAATTGGTCTGCATGGCTGTCGTTCAAGAAGGGTTGTTTAAGTGACTACATAACCAGTCCAAAAACAAATATGATGCATCACATTGTTTGTGTAAGCAGCACTTCTGCGTTATGCTATTCACAGATACCGGGAGTCATTCCTGTATACCAGCAGGTCTGCCGATAAACTGTCGGTACTCTCTTCTGTATACTTGCTCAAGAGAAACTGAAACTGAACATGCAAACTCAACCTCTCTCACACAATTTAACATATTAGAACCTACAGAGTAATGGAATGAAATGTTATTACACTGGTCAGTAAGACAGCCCAGAACACTGGTCAGTAAACTGCACCAGAACCATTATGGTGGGAAAGGGGCTTGACAGAGCCAGTGCTCATGGTTTCAGCATTCTATTGAAATTTTTGGCTGATGTATTTATATCTATAGTAAGCTATAGTATAGTATTTATAGCAAGCCAAATCATGTGGCAGCTGTAGTAGTTGCAACAAAAACTGGAAATGTTTAATAATTAGCTGCCTTGTCGTTGTGCACATGGGCTGACATAACTTTATATTGGTAAACTGGAGTGCAATAAATCACTCGCAGAGTGGATCACAGTCCATATCCACACTGGAGTAAGTGCAATTAAAAGTACTATAAGCTATTTTTATGAAGTAGTATTCAAAAAATGATCCTATTCTCTATAGAACTAATTGAAATAACTGTACTAAGATAGGCAGTTTATATACAAGAAGCTGAGACTATGATTGATCTGGAATGGTTTTCATAAATTTGGAGGGTGAAAATTAGTTACGACTTTATGTCTATCAACAAAGGCTTACATGTCTATCAACAATGGCACTAAAAGTAGCTCCAGTGTGGCTGTCAATTTAAGAAATTACCAAAGATGATGGAAACAAACAAAAAAACAGGTCAGAAAATACCAATGTTTTAAAGTTTGAAACAGTATGAAGATAACAAGCAGTCGTAGTACACATGCATCACACTTGTCCATTCAAGCTTGTGGTCAATGGCGTATACTCAAAAATGATAGAACTTTGTGTGTGATGCAAGAGCAGGCAGAAAAACTAATCCTAACCCAGGTACAAGTCAGAATACTTAAGAAAAAAAGATGCACACAAAAAACAGCAAGGTGCATATGAGTCCAAGAATTAGAAAAAAGAAAAGAAAAAAGGAGAGATTACACAAGCATGCAAGTTTGTTTTATTTGCATTATTAACCTAAAGAAAATCAAAACAGCCCAAACATTTAAACAGTCCAGTTGTATGGCTAAAGGAAGAAAGCAAAAACAACAACAAAATGATAATAACAGTGCAAGTAAAAAAAAAAAAAACCCTGACCTTTTCATTGAAGTGACAGAATACACCAGAACGTAACCATGAATATCCATAGAATGAGACTGGGGGAAAATGGAATACTCATCCTAAACAAAAAGGGGGAGGGGGACAACCGGTATGAAAAATGATGAAAAAAATAATAATAATAATCATTTTTACAGAAAGGTGGGGTGGGCGTGTTCTTACCTGTCCAGCAGTGTCGACTAACTGGAGATTGAAATCCTGGCCATTCACTGACACCATTTTATTAAAAGCTTAAAGGCAAACAGAAATTGAATTGGGGATATCAGAACCTTCAAAGGTAGTTTTGGAGCAACAATGTTTTAATACAATTTCCACTATGGCTGTTGAGATCACAGCACACAAGCAGAAATTGAAAACTGAATTAAGAATTCAGAACAACAGAATTCAGAAATGTATACATATGAAATTTTGTTTTCCAAGTTTCCCGTTTAGTTAACCTGACAGGTGTCACTATATAGTAGTCATTACTGATCACTAAAAATATGTTGGCAACACTAATAACACAATTTGAATTACTTCTTAACAAACAACATTACACTTAGCATATAAGTGGTTCATTACCATTCGGCCTACATGTATTTTCCCATTATGGCATTTTAGAATCATGCAGGCTAAGAATGCTAGTAAAACAGCTTATCAATAAAGTATTCCAGTACTCACTGTTTTCAATAGTAGGGTCATAGGAATCTACAAATTGTCCTTCTACAAACTGTATCGTGAGGGAGGATTTTCCTGTTGTAAAATAATTCAAAATGATTATCAAAGCAGTGTTTAACAATAATTAGTAACAAAAATGTGCCATCTATTATAAGGGTGTTGTTGAATGTACAATGATAATCAAACAATTATTTTATAATAATGGGAAAAAAAGGATAACTAAAGTAGCAGAAAGGTGTTGAGAAAGCTGCTGACTGATCAAGACACACATGTATATGCAGGTTAAGAACATGCCACTAACACAACGCATATGTGTAATACGCTTTGTGATTCATTTTTTTGCTCTTTTTTTATTACTTTTGTAACTTCTGTCCAATTTGTAAAGGTTTCTGAGTCACTCATGTCATTTTCATGGGTACGTTAGGCCTGATACACAGCATAATGCACTGTAAAATTACACATTTTGAAACTTTGTATTACAATTTTTATGATTCCATTAAGCTGACATACAGTATGGAATAATAGAGAATAAGCTGCCGTTTCCTTGTTCTAGAAACTTTTCAGAAGGATTTTTTATTTTAATGAATACAACTAATATTACATTATTGTTTCTCACATTACCAAAATATGTACATCTACAATCTAGTTGAATGATAGCTGATAACAGTAGAAATATAGCTTGCAATCTGTAAACCTGCAGACCTAAAGGCACCAGTCAGCAAACAATCCCACAAGATCTGCCACTTCAGAAGGCAATACATCAAATATGCAAGGATTTCAAAGGTCCACCAGGTGTGCAAGATAAAGTTATACAGAGGTTTACATTCATCCACAAACATACACTTCCCTAATTAAAGAAGAAAAAAACATTTTAACTGAACTAGGCCAACTTATATATATATATATATATATGGTGGTTCCATCAATATAGATTTACACTGTATTGTTGCAACTTAAAATTTATTTTTGAGATACTGATTTCTTAAAAGGTATAGTAAGAATCTATAATTCTATAAAAACAAAAGTTTTTATATATATATATATATATATA